CTTGAAGAGGCCCGACGGAGACTGGAAGCTGAGGGCATCCTCGAGGACCCCGAAAAGGTCAAGAAATAAACGCCAAATTTGTACACTGTACATAGAGATCAAAGAGGGACTATTTCCACTTATGCCTGTACTACCTGCGACGGCAGATATGATGTTCCGGTCTCGTTCTTAGACAGGTTTTTTTTGCATGCTCATCTATTTTCGTTTGTTCCTTGTTGTATCACTTTACACTTTTCGAAGTTTCTTTCCGTCATGTTGGTCATAGGTGCTCCGGTCGCAAAAAAAATGCTTATAATTCGCACTGAGTACGTCATGAAAGTTGATATCTAATAGACTCTTCGCGAAATGTACTAGGGGAAAAAAGAGGCCGATGGCATTCGCCTCGCTGTCCATAGAGGATTCTCAAATCTCTGGGTATAGATCGTTTCTCCGGAGCAACGGCATTTCACGCCTAATCTTTGCCACAATATCGAGATCAATATCGGCAGTCGCAATTTGTGGTTCCTGGTGCTCATCTCCCAGCTTGGCTACCACTTCACCCCATGGGCTGATGATGGCAGAATGGCCATAGCTTCGTCTCTTCTCATTATGGGGTCCTGCCTGCGCAGCTGCAATCACGTATGACTGAGTCTCAATAGCTCTTGCTCGTAGCAAGGGCTCCCAGTGAGCCTTGCCCGTCGGAACAGTGAATGCCGATGGGTATGTGATGATTTCAGCATTCTGCCGCCTCAACGCCAGGCTGATCTCTGGAAAACGCAACTAGATAATCCAGCATGAGTAAGAGGTTGAACCGCCTGATGTTCGATATAACGTCAGATTTCATAGCGCTTACATCAAAACAAATGCTTAAACCAACACGCCCTATAGGTGTTTCAAATGGCCTTGGGATTTGTTGTCCCGGCTGGACACTCCTATAAGTTCGAGGTTAGCGAATAATTTGTCAACTATCAGATCATCGTATCAGAAAAGGGAATGCTTACGCGCTCTCCTTAAGTACAGGTCCGTCTTTGATATCAACGTCGAATAGATGGACTTTCTGGTAGTTTTGGGTAATGGTTCCCTTGTCATCGATCCAAATCAATGAATTCTTGAGCCTGGTTTCAGAAGCTACTTCATGAATTCCAACGTTTATGTGGATGCTATGTTCCTTGGCATCTCTCTGTAAAGATGACACGAAGCTAGCCCTTTCTTCAGACTGGGCGAGGGAGTACGATTGCTCTGCTGAGGATGCGATATAGTCTGAGGCCTCTGGAAGAAACAACACCTAAGATATATGAGTTGGCTATCAAAGAGTTGGCAATAAAATATATATAATGTCACCTTGGCACCTGCTGCAACAGCCTTTTGTACTAACACCCTGCACTGAGCTAGATTGGAAGTTATGTTGCTAGTCGAGCATAGCTGCCCCACGGCCTATATCAAAGCAGGTTGTTAGCCAAAGCAGCTGACGCCCAATGGATGGTGCGCATACCGCTAAAACCATGATGATTAGATTAAAGTGTTTGAAAGGAATCTGAAGGGAAGGTTTTTTTTTACAAGAAAATCCCTTTCTTGTAGCAATGAAATGGCATCTTTTAACACTAAAGTGACGACCTGCACGTATGCTGAGTCAGCTAGTTATCGCGGGCGATATCAGCGATAACCTTTCTTCCCGCCAAGACTCTCACCTCAGGTTTTGACAGATTCAGCAACTGCCAGACGGTAGAAACTTATCGTCGCAATGAAGAGTTTAAGGAGAGACTTGTCTGCCAACCCGCAGGCCGCAAATGTTACCAGCAAGGTCTTCGTTAGGTCCACAAAAAGTGGGAAGGTGCAAAAGATTGTCCGCGAGCTCTATTTGAGAGAAGATATTCCTTGCTCTTCTAAGCTCTGCTCACAATGCCCGACGATTGCGCCAGCTGATGCCAATGGAAACAGTAAGGAAATTATTGCAGTGGCAGTCGAGTAAGTTGCTAATGCAAAACAGTTGCGCCGTTCATCCTTTCCGATCGCCCCGCCGGCACGACGGCATTCCCGCGAGGCCACTACCTTGTTCCGGACACAAATGCGCTGCTTAATGGAATGGATCTTTTTGAGCACACCGGGGCCTTCTACGATGTGATTGTTCTCCAGACCGTCCTTGAGGAACTGAGAAACCGATCACTACCACTCTACAACCGTCTTCTAGCCCTCGTCAAGTCAGAGGAAAAGCGCTTCTACCTCTTTTTCAACGAGTTCCGCCGAGAGACCCATGTTAGGAGAGGCCCCGAGGAAACAATCAACGACAGGAATGATCGAGCTGTGCGCATGGTAGCAAGCTGGTATGGTTCCCACCTGCAACAATCAGCGAAAAAAGGAAAGAAAGAGAAGACGATCCCGGCAATTGTGGTAATCACTGATGACAAGGAGAACCTTCGGAAATGCAAGGAAGAAAGTGTGGCGGCCTTGTCCTTATCCGACTATGTCTCCGGTTTGGAGGGGTCCGAGATGTTGCTGGATATGATCAGCGAGTCAAAGGACGCGCGAGATTCCAAAGAAACCAGTCGCGGGGAATTATTCTACCCTGAATACTTCTCGATGTCAAAACTCACTACTGGCCTGCGAGCCGGGACATTGCACCAAGGAGTGTTCAATGTTTCTCCTTACAACTACCTGGAAGCCTCCGTCAAGACCACAGCTTTCGATAAACCTCTTCTCATTCTGGGCCGTGATAACAGTAACCGTGCTATTGCAGGCGATTCTGTGGTGGTCGAAATACTGCCAAAAGACCAGTGGAAGACCCCATCAACTAAGATTGTGGACGAGGAGGCCGTGACCCGTAATGATAACCCTGATACCGAGGAGACCGAGGCTGTCGTCACGGATAGAGAACGCAAAGCTCTCCAGGAAGAAGTCAAAAAGGCTCATGGCAAGAACTCGGAGGGCAGGCCGCAACCTACTGCCAAGGTTGTTGGCGTGATCAAGCGCAGCTGGCGTCAATACGTTGGTCACGTCGACTCAAATTCTACCGGCTCACAGGCCTCTGGCAGACGGCAACAAAACGTTTTCTTACTGCCCATGGATAAGCGTATTCCAAAGATCAGAGTACGCACAAGGCAAGCTAGCGAAATTCTCGGCCAGCGTATTCTTGTTACCATCGATTCTTGGGACCGCGATTCGAGATACCCTACTGGTCACTTCATCCGGTCTCTAGGAGAGCTCGAAACTAAGGGGGCGGAAACTGAGGCTCTACTGCTTGAATACGACGTGCAGTACAAGCCGTTCCCGAAGTCTGTACTGGACTGCCTCCCATCCGAAGGACATGATTGGAAGGTCCCTGTCTCGAAGGAAGACAAGGGCTGGAATGGCCGGAAAGATCTTCGAGACTTGCTTATTTGCAGCATCGATCCACCCGGCTGTCAGGATATTGACGACGCGCTTCACGCGCGTCTCCTGCCAAATGGTAACTTCGAGGTGGGTGTGCACATTGCCGATGTGTCGCATTTCGTTAAGCCCAACAACCCAATGGATACGGAGGCCAGTATTCGCGGAACCACTGTTTACCTAGTTGATAAGCGTATCGACATGCTTCCGCATCTTCTTGGTACAGACCTGTGCTCTCTCAAACCATACGTTGAGCGATATGCCTTCTCGGTTTTGTGGGAGATTACACCTGATGCCGAGATAGTGTCTTCGGACTTTACCAAGTCGGTCATTCGCTCCCGAGAAGCATTCAGTTACGAACAAGCCCAGCTACGTATCGACGACAAATCACAGCAGGACGAGCTGACCCAAAGCATGCGCACACTCTTGAAATTCTCCAAGGTTCTCCGCCAGAAGCGTATGGACGCTGGTGCCTTGAACCTTGCCTCCCCAGAAGTCCGCATTGAGACAGAGGGTGATGAAGTGGGAGATCCTTTGACCGACGTCAAGACTAAGGCTATGCTTGAAACTAATAGCTTGGTTGAGGAGTTCATGCTTCTCGCCAACACCACTGTTGGCTCGAAGGTATACGAGTCCTTTTCTCAGACGGCTTTGCTACGTCGACACGCCACTCCCCCGCCTCAGAATTTCGAGGATCTTCAAAACCAACTCTCAAAGAAGCGGAATATGGAGCTTGATGTCTCTAGCTCGCGAGCTCTGGCTGATTCATTGGATCGCTGCGTCGATCCCAAGAACCCATTCTTCAACACCCTGGTACGTATCTTGGCAACCCGCTGCATGACCTCTGCCGAATACTTCTGCGCGGGTGCCTTTGCCGAATCTGAATTCCGTCATTACGGTCTGGCCTCGCCCATTTACACTCACTTTACTTCGCCCATTCGACGATATGCCGATCTGATGGTTCACCGACAATTGGCTTCTGCCATTGGATATGAAGGCGAGGATGGACACGCCGTCATCGAGGGTGTCAGCACCCGCAACAAGCTTGAAGACATCTGCCGGAACATCAACGTCCGTCACCGCAATGCACAGCATGCCGGCCGCGCTAGTATTGAGTACTACGTGGGTCAGGCTCTCAAGGCCCGTGGAGAGAAGATGGCCGCCGACGGTGTCGATGCAGGCATTGAAGAAGAAGGCTACGTGATGCGTGTGTTCGAGAACGGTGTTGTCATCTTTGTTCCCCGCTTCGGCATTGAAGGTGTCGTTCGTCTGGAGGATTTCGTCCTTCCCGGTGAATCTGGGGCTCGTTCTGTTGCCGAGAGACGGGAGCTAGCTCCTCACCGCACCACAGAGTTCGATAGTGAGGAATACACCCTTCGTGTGGAGGAGAAGGGTCACCCGGAGAAAGAGCGCAGTGTGACTGTTGAACTTTTCCAAAAGGTTCGTGTCAATGTCAGCTCCGTCAAAGAAGAGGGTCGTGGTGCTGGCAAGAGAAGGGTCCGTATTCTGGTTATGGAGGCATGAGCCCAAAACTACATCCATGTGGATTAGATCTATTGTCAAAATGGCGTTCAAATCAAATTAATGACAGACGATTGTCTATTTTTGTATGTTCATTTTGTCTGACATGTCTCTGTACTCTGCGTTATGCAGTTATATCAAACTTTTTTCAAAGTAATCATTCTGCGAACTAAGCTGACTGGGGCCCACAACGGAGCATTCGTTTCGGCCTCCAAGGCCGGGGAAATAGTCGCAGGGAGGGTTTGCTTCTCATTTCCGTCGCTTCCAGTTAGCGGGCCAGGTTGAACAGAATCACGGCGTTTCCGAGAACGCTCCAACTCGCCGACCTTCCAACCACGGACAATCCACAAACACAAGGAAGCACCAAAATACATGAAGCCAGTAAATAACTGAACACGCAGATATGAAGTCCCACCACCAACATCATGGCTGCGGAGCTGAAGTGCGATAGCCTCGGAGACAGTGCAAGGGGCAACAAGCGTGAGCCAAGTAATGCTTAAGCCGGAAGGGAGGTCTCTGATACCAATAATCTCCGCGAGAACGGGAGAAACAGTAGCCCAATACGTTCCTGCGACAGTGCCAACCAAAACAGCGAAGAAGCATACCACGCCCATACTATCAGCAGAAGTCCAGACGGCAAGACAGAACAGACCGCAGAGGAATGTGAGGGAAGTAGCGATATTAATGCGACCAAGCCGGTCACTGAACATGCCAACAAACGGACGGCCGAGACCCTGGCCGAGGTTGAGTAGCGCGGAGACAATACTTCCCTGGTGCGACGAGAGGCCGACAGAGAGGGCGAAGTTGGCAACGCTGAACAGCAGGGCTACGTAGCCGAGCATACTGAACACACCCCATCCGAGGAAGAGCAAAAACTCCGGACGACGCAGGAGGGGCAGATGGAAAGCCGTGAATCTACTGCCGACAGCCTTATTGCGGTCTCGGAGCAAGTTACAGCAGACCAGGTTCACGACGCAGGAAATGATACCCAAAATGCGGAACGCCCAGCCCAACCCGTATCGCGGGATAATGGCGCCCACTGCGAGGGAGTAGATCAGGCCGCCGAGACCAGACCCGGCCGCGTTGATGCCCATCGCCACGCTACGGTGTTTGTCAAACCATTGCGGAGTGATACCGACACTGCCCACGAAGAGAAAGCCCATTCCCCAGCCGAAACAGACACCTTGGCTGAGGAATATGTGCCATTTATGGGTTGCGAATGAGGACCCTATTAGAGAGAGGGTTTCGAAGAAGACGCCCAAGTTTAGCACAAGTCGTGTGCCCCATTTTTGGATCATCCACGTCGCCAACGGAGCCACCAGAAGGGCACAGGAGATACTCAAGCCGCCAGTGAAGGCATAAGATAGGGCAGATGTGTTTGGAAATACATCATTTGAGAGGTAATGGCTCAGAAAGACTCCGTAACTCTGAATAGTAACCTGTTAGTAAAATGACAGTGAATGGACATGCAAAGATTTATGACTCACGCTATTGATACCCCAAGTATGCGCATTAATCCAGAAAACGCAGGCGACACAAACCCAGCCATAGCCTCCGTCCGGGGCTACATCGCGCTTATATTTCTCATCTTCATCGATGTTCAGTGATGCTGATTGTGAATCAAGATTCTTTTCCTGTTTTGCGCTCTCTCTGTCTATATCATCCTGGTGGGAACGGATGATATCAATTGGCACATTATCTGCCATGTTAGCTCCGATATAAGCCCTGCTTATTGTGTATGAGATAAGGAGCTTTTTGGAGAGTAGACTGAAACTAGTTGCCGTTTTTGTCACGACATCGAGGTATGTAGTGAAAAGAAGCAAGAGACCAAAGTTAGCACGCTAACAAAAAAAAAAAGGGACTAGATTTCAATCAGTTTTATCTTGGTAATAATTGGAGTCATCGGATTATCGGATTATCGGACTGAATCCCGAATCTAAGGAACATTGTTCGAATAGAGGAAAATTGCCCGGGACCTCGTGGTTTATTATCTACATTCGGCGATATTGGACCAATGACGGAAGTTGATATACATAGGACCTGCTACTTTGCATCCAAAACTGTGAAGTTCTTAAGTGTCAGCGCGTTACCTTGGCTGTGGGGGTTCTCCGTGCCGAGATGCCGATGCGGAGAGAGTCCAAGTTGGGTAAATGTGGGGGATTTTCATCTCAAGAATGGATGTCTATGTTTAATTAGAAATATGTTAAGAAGTCTTTATCAAGTATAAAAGGCTATATATATTCCAATATGCACCTAAAATTGTCCAATATAGGGCTTAATAGGGTTGAATAGAAGCCAAGCCCTTATCAATAGATAAGAATGATGAGTCATCCGTTGCCTCGCGACGGGGGGTTTGTTTGGAGGGGAGCCCAATGACGCTAGCCAGCTCAGACCGTAAAGTGTAGATCGAAACTAGACTCTTCTCATCTTAGTTCATTTTGGTCCTTGATCCCTCGTCATTATCTGTACTTATCCGTATTTCTCTATCCTTGCAATTTCATGATGCATAAACATAACACTGGTCAGAGGAAGGTCTCACCTCCTGGTCCGTCCTTCATGTCCAGTGATCAAGTTTGTAAGTGACTCTTTGGTGTTGGGCCGCCCAGGGCTGACAGGTGAGTCAATAGCAACATACTTGAAGGACTTGCGGGCAAATCGTCCTGTGCGTCCCACGGGATCACGTCCATACCCAGGTAGATCAACCGCATCAACAAGCGAGCTCCCTGATAGCCTTCCTCCAAGAGCGTCCTCGGCATTCTCGATGCACAGGCCGGTCGAAGATGGCATTGAAGATAACCGACGCTCAGGGAGTGCAATGTCCCATCGCCGGGCAAATTCCCACGTTCCTAGTGGAGGCGCAATGGGTCGTCCTTTAGCTCAGGAGCCACGAACGCACTCAATCCGAAAGAACGTGTTTCCAGCACAAATCCACGCACGCACCATCCCTATCCCGGCATCTCCAGCTTTGTCCTATCGTGAAAATGGTCAACGACGACACGAAAAGGAAGAGGCACGGGCACTACGAGCGGCCTTGCAGAAAATGGATATTGAAGACGATGTCGGTCTTCACCAAGCAGCCCAGGATGAGGCCACAGAGCTAGTTTGGATGCACCAGAATCCCGGCCAAGCTTTTAAAAACCCTTATGCGCCATACCAAAATCCCGATGCCAACAAAAATAGACAAAGTCCTGTCCGAAATAGTCCGCGAGAATCTAACCCCTCGACCAATAGATTTAGCCAGTCCACGGGCTCAAGTGTTTCCTCTGATGGTAACTCTAGTCCAGAGTCAGCACGGAAACGATCCTCTCTGGCTGGACCATCAAAGAAGAATCTCAAAGTTAATTTCAAACTACCTGACGAGGAACCTGAGCAATCTGTTCCTCCCAAATCGCGCACCGTCAGCAGTGATTCATCTAAAGGAATCTTCAGAAATCCCAACGACCAAATTTATGAAGAACCCCGTGATACTCAGGAAGCAAAGCCAGAATTTTCTAAGTCTGACTCGTCGGCTTTGAAAAACAAACCGCGCAATGCTCTGGGGCGTGTTCCTAGACCTCTGCCTTGGCTGCAGAATAGAGCTCACAGCAGCCCTGTGATGGATAAAATCTCGCGGTTCGAAACCAACAAGAACCCTCCCACCCAGTCGCCTAAAGCTGGATATACTCGAAACGAAAGTGCTACTCCTCCTCCTACCCAGTCACGCAACGCCGGTTACACTAGAAACGATCCTGCTACTTCGACACCTCCCCCTGACGAAAAGGATGAACTTGTCTCCACCCCGGATGGAAGAGAGAGACGTAGTGACGATATCCGCGCAGCTACCAGCAAAAGACGCGGAGACCGCAGTGAAAAGCTACCCATGCCTTCGGCCGTCAGTGATCGAGTTGGACGCCCAATCGTGAGCTTCGACCAAGATTGGAAACCAAGTGATCAGCCGAAGCCTGATCGTCCAACTCTACCCGTAATTGAAGTTGCAGCACCGACCATTGAAGTCTCACCCCCCTCAATCGAAGTCTCCGAGCCGTCTCCAATCCCTGTGATCAATGTCCCGGACATTAAAGTACCCACTATCTCCGAGATAGAGGCTCCTTCCAAGCAACCGACCAGACCGGTGCCAAAGTCGACGAGAAGCTGCCCAACTAACCAGACTTTTCCGAGACAGCAGGGATCCGACTCCCAGAGCCGTTGGTACACACCCTATACACGATCTGGTGTCCCGACTGCAAGCTGCGAGCTATGCACACTTCCAATTTCCGGAAAAATTGTGACTGCTGGCGGATGTCGATTCCACCCGGAGTGCTTTACCTGTTTCCACTGCCACACAGCTCTCGAATGTGTAGCTTTTTATCAAGAACCAGAGTCCAGCAGAGCTGAGAGACTAGCAGCCGAGACTGATGAGCATGATCACGAGGCCCGTGTGCCCCGTTTCTACTGCCACCTGGATTTCCACGAGATGTTCAGCCCCCGTTGCAAGAGCTGCAAGACCCCCATTGAAGGAGAAGTGGTAGTGGCATGTGGTGCGGAATGGCATGTCGGCCACTTCTTCTGCGCAGAGTGCGGTGATGTATGTGTTGATTTCTTTTCTGATTGCGTATGCAAGATAATTGACTATCTCTCTTCAAATAGCCCTTCGATTCCCAAACTCCCTTTGTCGAGAAAGATGGCTTCGCATGGTGTCTCCGCTGCCACTCGCGCCGTACCGCGCCACGTTGTTTGGGCTGCAAGCAGCATGTCATGGATGAGGTTGTCATTACCGCAATTGGCGGCCAGTGGCACGAGCGCTGCTTCAATTGTCATGAGTGTGGCGATGGTTTTGGTCCGGAAGGCCGCTTCTTCGTTCGTGAAGGAGAGCCCAAGCGAACAGCCAAGGGCCGTGTGATCGGTGGTCCGGTCCAACTGGCGATCTGTGAGAGATGTGAAGGTATCCGTCTCAAGGCGCCTGGGATGTGCTAAATGCACTGTCTAGTTGCTGGGCTACCATGTTTTAACGAGATTACTGCATTTATGATAGATTCACGCATGATGTCGGTGTTTTATTGTTGCATTACCATTTCTCGGCATGTGTTCTACAACCCCCTTTCGGGGTTCATTTCGGGAGTTTGTTCGTTTTATGTTATGTTTTTGTTAGCAAGCGAAGATTGTCAGCGATGTTGGAGTATGATATTGTCAATGCATTTAGAACGGAGGAAAACGCCTCAAAACACCTCTCTCTCTTTTCATCATATCAGATCAATGGTTCCAATAACGTCCCGTATTCTCTATAATTAGGGATCCAATTCTCTTCACTCCTTCAAGCAGGCCACTCAGGATCAGCCTTGCGCCTGAAAACAGCAACATACTTGTTGCCCTTATTTCTCGTAACTTTCTTCGACTCCTCTGTCTCAAACTTCATTACCCGCACGCAAGGATCGAGAGCAAGCTCCTCCTCGGAGACCCGCTCAAACAGATCCTTACTGCTCGCAGCAGGAGCTGGCCCACCCTCCGGTTGCTCCCCGTGTAGGAAATGACGAAGGACCCAGTGGTGATACTCCTCGACATCGGTAATGGTGTACAGCAGACCGCCAGGCCGCAGAACATACGCATACTCGGAGTTCAGCGTCTCGGAGACAATACGGGCCTTGTGCTTACGGGCCTTGAAGTGCGGGTCCGGGAAGCAGATGAAGATCTTGGAGAGTTGGTGGTGGCCGAAGAAGTTGGGGAGGAACTTCATTGTGTTGCTACGGATTGCGGTGATGTTTTCGAAGTTTCCTGGGAAGAGTTTCTCGGTGCCGATTTCGTCATCGTTGGCTGAGACTGGGGTTGCGGCTGATTCGGTGCTCTCGGGTTGCGCCGAGGCGTCTTGAGTTTCGGTTGATGAGTTTGCGGCTTTGTTCTTGAGACGTTGTTGTTGGCTGCGCAGGGCGTGGATGCGAGAACTGAGGTATTCCAGCACTGAAATGCGGATTTCCATGCCTTTTTTTTCATTAGTTTCTCGTCATATTGAATTTGAATATCACTGCGCTGTACTTACCGACCATCAGGGTATCTGGCATCAATGGCGCCAGGCCAACCATCAGTCCGCCAAAGCCGCATCCAATATCCACGACTTCGACCTCCTTCGTCAACTTGCGCCCTCCACTGAGGTTCTTTTTGGATGGATCTGGATCCACAAATGCAGGGTAATGAGATGACCAATCCATATGCGCGGGGCTGAGGGGACTATTAGGGCATTAATTAGCTCTCGTTCGCAATCGGATGCATAGGAATTGTCGCCATTGAAGCTCCAAAACCACATGGATGCTCCCGTATAAATTGTCCGACGTGAAATAGGTAAAAGAGGATACATACTACTCTAGCTTGTGGTCAGAGAAGGGATTGGCGTGCGCGCGCTGGCGGAAGAATTTCTTCTGCGGCATCTTGATGACGGAGCCATCGGTGGAATCTTGTTGGGCCTGTACATTGCGACGGTACTCTTCGCGCTTGATACGCTTTGCAGGGGGATTTTGGGTGGACATTGTTGAGCAGCGGGGAGGGGAGAGAAATCAAAAATGAAGTTGAAGTCGACGAAATTGAGAAAATCCTGGCCCCACCTTTTACTCCACAGGTTGGAGTCTCTCGACTTGCTTGTCTTTCTATCTGTTGTCTCTCTATATACTTATCCTTTTGGCTTCCATTTGATCTTTTTTGACTATTTGTTCTTCTCCTAGCTCCTTAATACTCTCCAATATGACAACATCCCAATTCACCTTCCCACCAACCTACAACTTCCCCCCCTTCTTCACCCCGCAACCAAACACAACAACCCGCCACTCACAGCTTGAGAAATGGTCTTCTCTAATCCAATCCTGGTGTCGGCATCACCGTCAATACCGTCTCTCCCTAATCGACGCTGTTGAAACCCCTCTCTTCCATAACACAGCGCTGCGTAAACGCCTTGATCTGCGCGAGGCCCGCGCGGTCATCGACTGGATGACTAAAAGCGAAGAGGAAGGCGGCGGTGGGCGAAGAGCGGAGTGGATCTCTGATGCTGGAGGTGCGTCGTCTTCGGGGGGCTTGGGAAATGGTGCTGGACAGGGGCCGAAGGCTGTTGCGTGGATTTGGTGGAGGAGGCCCGAGGAATGGGCGGATGTCTTAGTTGAGTGGGTTGAGGGCACTGGGCAGAAGGGATCAGTTCTGACGGTCTATGAGCTTATTCATGGGGAGGGAGCCATGTCGCAGGGTGAGATTCTCTCTTTGGTTTTTTTTTATTATGGCGTCTAATTCGCGTCTACAGAGTTCCATGGCATGGATACTGATGTCATGCTGCGCTCGTTGAATGTCTTGGTTAAGAGGGGCAAGGCACAGATTTTTGGTGCTGAGGGCCAGGAGGGTGTTAAGTTCTTTTGAAGAGCTCAAGATGAGGTGATGAGATTTCTCTACGGGATAAATCGTGGCTATTCGTGACAAAACAAAGCGCTTCTCATGTGCAGGTCCAAGTACATGTCAAATCACGTCGCCAATACTCCAAACTTATACACAAAATCCATATTCCTGGGTTGAAAGCCCTAAAAGGATGAGGGGTGTGGACTCAATACCTTGGTATCAGTCTACTCGTCCGTGTTCTCGATCATCTCCTCGGTCAGCTCATATTGGTCGGCGGCACGTGTTTCCTGCGACATGGCCATGTCCAGGAGCCAGTCAACTCGGACAATCCGTGGAGTCTTCTTGATATCAAGTGCTAATTGGCGGAAACGAGGCCAGATTCGACCGTGATTAGCTCCGGCGCTGCTGAGGAGAAAGACATCCTTACGAGCAGGGTTGTCGTCTTCCGCTTCGCTTTCGTTGTCGCTCTCCTCCCGCCGAGAATGGTTTGATATAGCCAGACGACCACGGAAAAGCATGCACTCCCCTCCGTTTGTTTCAACAATAGATTTGAATGCATCAAAGCCTCCTCGAATGTCCTCGACGCAATAGATGCGATAGCCCTGCAGCATCTTATTCTTGTTCTTCTTTGCGTTTGTCGTGACAGAAGACAGGTTAAAATTGTACTTCTTCTCGGCTTCTTTGTCAGCCAGAGGGAAATCGGAGGGGTCAAGCAGCTCCTCCTTCTTTAGGCAACTGGTGACGAAGTCTGTGCTCACGATCGTCGGCGCATACGCGAGTGCGTTGACGAATTTGGTGGTTCGCAAGATCGACGGTGCGGCCAAATGAGTGCATCGTCGGGCATCTTGGACCACCAGTATACCAAGATCTCGAAGGCCTCGCTGTGCAAATGTCAGTAGCTTAGACAAGTCAAGTTCATGATTGCAGTAGCCAAACAAACCTTATCTGCATCCTCTTTCTTCTCGTTGCCCTTGCCTACCCATCTCTGATAGCCAGTAATCAACAAGTGCATAGCAATTGGTGGCCGAGACTTTTTCTGTCGTTTGGTCTCTACTGCCTGCTCGCCTTCGCTTTCATCCTCGGCTTCAAGTGAGGCACGCTTCTTGTTCTCTTGAACCCGGCCCTCGTCTGACTTTCGTCTGCCACCATAGATAACACCGCCCACTCGTTTTCTTTCCTTTTCGTACAAGGCAAGATCTGGGGCATATTCATGCAGTCGGGCAGTTGCTGCATCTTTTGACTTACGGCTACTAGTCGACGACGGGGTTTCGTTTTCTTTGCCCTCGGACATGATTCGAGTTCGTGCGGGTGTCTGGATAGGTCGGTGCGTCTTCCCATTGCCCTGCGGAGTACCGTGCGAAGTTTCCAGGGCATCCTCATTAATCTTCCGTTTCTTCTCAGCGGGAGGCTGCACTGAAATCATATTTTGCTTCTTGCTCTGCATTGCGCGCCGTGGGCTATGAGCGACGGTCTCCCCGGACGAGAAAAAGACCTGTTCCAAAACATTGCGATCGAGCTGGGTCTGGCCTGCGACTTCTCCGAGATTTGTTCGCAGAGGGAAATGGGTATACCTCGGATTTGAGGCTGGCTGTAGCTTCCATTTTGCATAGCTGTCTTCTAGCCACAAATGGTTGACAACTTCAAGGCCCCATTCCTTCGCTGCATTGCATTTCTCACTCGTTCCATGTGCCGTAATCAGATGGGTATTTTCTTGCTTCAATGTTTTAGTACATTCTGCACCTGCTGCTGCGACCAAGTTCTCCATGTAGATTCTTGCTTCGCCAACATAATTAGACAAGCTAATCTTCAAGCCTTCAAACCCGGGAATGGGAGTTCGTGAGACTGGGTAATGAAGAAGTCGTCTGAGGGGTGAAGTGTATGTGTTGAATGTCATGAGGCGGTAGAGCCATGCGAGACTCCCAACGTCTATATTCAGTCGCGATGCCGTGCGGTACGCAAACCCTTCCCGATAACGACAAATTAACATGTCTGCCCCATCAATATTTGATGTTATTTTGGCACCGGCTTGTTCGAGGACAGCTTGGATTGATTCCTGCAAATGCGAGCCAATTCCAAGATCCGAAGACAGCATGACAGACTTCCCTTCAAAGACACTCCGTTCACCTGGTTTAAGCGGCGAACTGGATGGCGTGGGCAGCTTAGCTGGATCTGCTGTTGACGCACCGACTAAATCCTTATTCTCTTGCCATCGGATTGGAGTTTCAGGACCAACGCGCAAGATCTCTGGGTCTGGAAGTGTATACGGACGTTCGTCGATTCGTCGGCCAAGTTTAAGGCAGTCATCAAACCTGTTCTCAGTCAGCGAGGGTCTCTGGATAATGTGCCATAAAACTCACCAGTGCGGTAGTACAATCTTCACATTCAATTTCTTCGTCTGGACGAAGCGCGCCTTGTCGGAATCGGCTGTGAGATCCACCAAGTGTGTAACCATCTGAGAAATTCTCGGTGCATACAATCCACCTTTTGCAATCACACCACCTACGATTGCATCCTTGTCTCCGTCAGGTATGTCACCACAGGTAACCACCACATCGTTCATGAACAAACGCGGGTCTGGGCTGTATTGGCGGGGATTCGCCAATTTTCGCTTCATCAGTGAGTTACTCACCCACTGTGGCTTTACCACAGGGATCAGCGCATCGCAGGCGGTATCGTAGGCTTCGAAATCAATTGTGGTAGAGATCAAATGGCTGAACTTGGCCAAATCGGGGACCTCGGCACCGGGTTGAACAATCAGGGGCTCGCCTCCATGTTGCTCGAGAGTGGTTGCGAGCTAGACGATTATATTTCGTCAGTCTGGTTCAGGCCGTACTAGTGGCAGGGAAACACGTACCTGCTCCGCGGAGTCTGTCGAAAGATCCTTGGAGCATAAAATGCAGAGGCAACAATGCTCGAAGAGCTTAGATTCTCCGTTTTCGGCGACCATGGCCAAAGTTATGGATGAAGTATGCGAGTGTTGGAAAATCCCCAGGAGAGTTGCATCCAAATGTAAAACGAAAGGCAATCGCGGACGCGCTCACGCGTGTCAGGAACGCCGGATCACGTGCACGGCGGGGATTAGATTCAGATAGGTCGAGTTTGATGTATCTCGTTTGTTATTTTGTTTGATTAAGACACTCGAGTTTGATCCTTTTTCATAATACTCCGTATTTTATGTACTACTATGAAAACCCCTCGATCTTTATATGTTGTACTCCGTATATTCGACTCTTTGGATGTTAAATAAGGAACTCCTACAACGGAAGGCTACATTACATGTCTGTTTGGTATAATCTGCCAAATGTTGGTTTAATTTTAACTTCTGATCTCGCATTTGTGGCTCTAAATACAACTATCTTCATAAATATAGACGATACTTGTACAACGTACTTATGCTTCCTCCCAGATTTCGTTTGTATACATTGGGCGGTGTAATTCTGCCAAATGGGTATAGAGCTCGAGACCTTGCACGCTTCACCCTTCGGGGCATATGGTCAAATGAAAGTGTACAACATCCAGGGAAGATTTAAACACCTTACACTAAGGCTGACACGCTCAATCCAAGAGAACATTTGGAAGCTCCCTATCTCCCCCTTATCGAGGTTCTGTATTGCGCTTGGACGGTGTGTAGGTCCTTTACAGCCGTTTGATTGTCTCGGCGTGGTGAGACCTGAACGTCTGCATGTCCATAAAGACCTAGAAAAACAGGTAAAAGAAGTACTTTTTCAATCATAAGATGGGATTTTTAGTATTCAATGACATTGGACTCGATCTATCCTCTCGATCAGACAGGCTCGAGGCGCTTCAGACATGTTTCAGCTAGTTTGCTCAGAAACTGCTTTTTACGGCGACCAGTTGCGAAACACCCAAGGCCTAACTAGCTGCAATTTCCCTTTCTCCATATCAGTCACTTTCTTCGAGCATAGGGCCATATGCCGCATCCAATCTGCTTGATGGTAGATACAGTCCAGCGAAGATATCAGTGACAGCGTCAACTGGCCACTCCTCTTGGTCCTCGGGCTCGAAGTCAACTTCAGACACAGGTTTGGACACAATCTTGCAATCAGATCCAGATTCAGATGCAAAATCAGGGTCATCATTGGAGTCATCATCAGAGAGTTCCACATAGTCATTGGCATCAAGTGTTGATGGCGCAGCCAAGATCATCAGTTGATTGGTAGGAAGATAGGACCCGCACTTAATATTATCAACGTACTTTATCTTGGGTTCTTGCTAGAAGTATACTTACTGCATAAGACGGGCCTTGCCCAGGTCGGTGAAATTGGATTCCGTACTCTGCAGCAAACTGGGCATCGGTGCGCCTGGTAGAACATATCAGTATATGACCCCCGTAGAGTAACAGAAGAGACCCACGCAATTTCCTCTAACGTATCACAATAGTAGCCGATCTGAGAGGTAGAGACGACCTTTTCCCTAGGTTCCTTTAAATAAAGGGCATCGCGCCAACCTCACATCAATACCCAACGCGTTATCGCATTATTACCAGCAATTGTTTCCTTGACAGTTACGATGCCCCACCTTCTTAACACCGTAACTATACACTATCAGAGAATACTCTGAATGTACAGAGTGCAAAACAGAATACGCACCGGCATCAGCGTGTCGATCACGAACATGACGGCTGAAGGTTGCCCGGTTGCTGAAACTGTCTCCGCACATCTGAGTGCCTTGAATCACGATGTCGCAACTATTTTGGTTAGCCAGTATTTGAGAAATTGAGGATCACATGTTGTACATGAAGACATGGCAACGATTCAGAGTGACCAGGGGGGCTTCTGGCATATGAGTAGTAGTAGCAAGAGCAGTAATAAATTGTTCCATAGTTTGACGTTCGGCTATCAATTTTAGTCCTCGACCAGGATTATTACTTGGAATAGGTCCTATGAGGCTTTAATACACTGCCGCTGCCAGAGCAAATTACCTATATTCTGTACTCACCGTGTGCGTAGCCCCAAACTGGATGTGGGTTCTCTGCATTCAGTACACCGGGATGGAGAAAGTCACTTTTAGATAACTGTGGCCAGGCTACCTCCATCCCGTTCCGATGGCTCATGGACGGACGACTGCAATGAAGATGTAAATGGAGAAAGATGGGCAGGGCATAGTGATGGCAAGGAATGAGAAAATGATGACCATCGTGGGAGGGTCTTTATAGACTTTGTACATGTATAGTGGCAAACAAGAAGTAGCATGTCTGGATGAGGTCTTGTTCATGCAGGTTTTCTATTGCTTCCACCATATTACGGCCGTCTCCAACCAGCAGTGCACCACAGGTTTCCCGTGATAAGTTTGTTAGACAGTCTTATCTTTGTGCCCAGTCATTTGGTAGTTTGCTTCCGAGTTCCTACAAAGTACTACACACATTACATACTACATGTGTATGTGTATGTACCGGATTTTAGGCCACAGTCGCGAATTTCCCGATCGGGGTGCCCGCCGCTTTATGAGGGCGATCAGGTTCCTGCTCACTGAGTATTCACAGCACAGGTGATCACTGTACAACATAAGTACCTAGAGTATACTTAGTAATGTAAAAAAAATATTGTTTAGTACTTAGGGTGTGCTTAGTGGGTGCTTAGGGTATGCTCAGTGAGTGCTCAGGTTTACTCAGTGAACACTTAGAGTATGTGACAGAAATCTGGCTGTATGAGATGTATTGTGCAAAATGACAGATAGTTATGTAGAACTCTAACTAAAATGATCAATTTGAACAATCTCTAGGGCTGTCCACTGCGGACACCGATGACTAACTGTAATATACACTTTTGTATGGTATGCCTAGTACTCGAAGTCACACGATGTCCGGGGTAATATGCCAGGTTTCAGCAATATAATTCAACGTAGTATTTGATAATTATCATTCCGAAGGAAGACCGGAGTAAGATACTCAATAATACAAGCAAATCTCCATTCTTTGCACTGAAGTACGCTAAGACTTAAACTAATTACAATACAGTGGATATGTTATAGTAACAGAAAACGAAATCGTCCTAAAGAAAAAGTACAACATAGCAAATTGTGCTTGAGGTTTAGGCCGACCAAAGCGGCAAGTATCAAGTTTCCTAATATAGGTAAATCTGGTGCCGCTATAATACCCTGCGGAGCGTCCAATGTGGCGCCGGTCGGGGTGGGGCCGATAGTCTGATCGACAAGCATTCACAGCCTATAGGTCTACGAATATATCACAGCCTACCACCTATGGCGAGCAAACGCCCTCGTTCGGATTCCCCAGAGGCATCCTTTTGTCGCCCCTGCCGCAAGGTCACGGAGCCAGACCCGCCTCCCCCAGTCCCGTCTGAGGATTCAATCTTCTCGGTCCAAACAGATGTGTCGGAATCCACGCGTGCAGCAAATCTAACCGCAATGCTTGAGCGTATTGATCGGTACACCACAAGTGCGGAAAGACCCCACGATGAAATCCTCCAAGCATCCCTTAGAAATTTCCTCGAGATGTTGCCACCAGATGGAGGCGCCGAGCTCTTGAAAGACCTCGATAGCAAGCCAGGAGACGAAGGCCTATATGAGGTTTTCAGTAACCTCTACACTGGCCTGAGATCCCGGAGTAAGTTATGATCCCTGACTCAGTCTTGAAAAAAAAATGATCAACTTATGAATCGGACTACTTAGTGATGTCGCGCTCAAAGCCTCCCTCGATTACCCCATCTCCGAACCCAAAGCGGGGCGATCATGCCGAAGCACTTAGCGCGAAGATGGATAAGCCAATCAGCCGCGACCGAAAGTTCAAAACAGCCTTGCTAGCGAGAGATGGATACAAGTGTGCCGTGACTGGGCATTTTGACCGAGGACGATATGAAGAACTTGGTTTGGATTCGCCCGATCTTAATCCTACGAATACACAAGGGGCTCATATAATTCCCTTCTCATATGGATTTTGGAACTCAAGCCAGGTAAGATAACTTTCTCTCTAAGGTAGTTGATATGAATGCTAAGTTTTAAATAGGGCCTACCTCCCGATATGGCTACTGCTTGGGAAATTTTGTACCGGTGCTTTCCAGCACTCCGACGCCTAAGATTCAACTGGGAAGATATCAACAACCTTGAGAATGGAATCACTATGGCTGAATGGATCCATTCAATGTTTAGAACATTTCGCCTTGCTTTTAAAGCAACAGTTAGCTATTTATACCTTTCAAAACAAGGCTAGGTACTGATTAAGAGGATACAGGAAGTCCCCGATCAATATGATGTTGAGACATTTGGACCGATCGGCAATGTGTATCGCAATATGATTCACGATCGGATCACTTTCACAAACCACGACTCAGCGAAGGACCATAAGCTTCCCAGTCCAATCATACTAGAGTGCCATTACATTCTAGCAAAAATTCTTAATGCTTCCGGTATGGTCGAGGCATTCGATCATGATTTTGATATATGGGAGGCCGTAAAGGAATCAGTCCATAGCCTCCGCGAAGACGGGAAGACGGATATTGGCAGTATCTTAGGATTATCATTTTTGTGCGATGATATTGCTCGATAGGGGCCCCCGGATTACAGTGAGCTGGATCCTTATATTTGTATGGTTTTGAAGATACATAGCTATTCATGACAGCAAATTAAGGAGCAAGTTCAACTTCAAGTTAATAAGGAATCCTTACAGCGCTTGCTAATGTTAGAAGGGGGATAGTTTACTAGATTGAAATTTTGAAATCGAGTTAAGCGAATATTAGCTTTTAGGATATAACATAGTTAGATAGAATATTTAAATCAATGAAACCCCTCAAAAATGTGTAGACTACAACAGTGATTGAATTATTATCTTTGGATATCTCAGTTGATACACTTCGACGTACCCTAGCTCGGAGGGGGTATAACTGGCGTATTGCGCTTGGGAGACCTGATATAAAGGATAGGAATATCTCTGCGCGTCTTGAATGAGCACTTGAGCACGTGAATTAGACCCGTGAGGATTGGTGCCGAGTAATTTGGACTAATGAGACTTGGGTAACTCCTGGATATCACCGAAAGATACGAGTAACGAGACGTGCCGATGAAGAGAGATACCCTGATTGTCTTCGACCACGACGCCGGGGTAACGGGGGCTAGATGTTTTGGGGGTCGTTTCTTGGATCTGAGAAAGGACCATGTCTCTTTTGGGAGAAGGAATGGGGCTGGATAAATGGTGAATCTTATACTGAACGGATTGCTCCTTTAATTGAAGCTTCTTCCGTTTAAGAAGTGAGAAAGATCCGATGGCTATGCACGATAATGCTCCTGGACATGCTGCTAAAGAGACATTGGAGTTCTTCGAGGCACTTGGGGTCACTGTGATAGAATGGCCTGCTAAGTCCCCTGATTTAAACCCTATTGAGGAGGTTTGGAATTGGATGAAGGACTATATCGAGAGGAAGTATGGGGATAAGCACTTTCCTTTGTCGAAGCTTCGTGGGGTGGTGCGGGAGGCCTGGGATGCTGTGCCGGAGCAGTTTCTATCTGATCTAATAGATAGCATGCCATTAAGGTGCTAGGTAGTTATTGATGCTCAGGGGGGTGCTACTACCTTCTAGTATATAGCAATTGATGGTTGAAAATATGGATTATATCTCTCGTAATTTGACTTAGTGAAATAAGAAGAAATTGAGGGTTGAGAACCCTGTTTTTTGAAAAATTCTCGTAGTATTATTCTGTAAAAATACTATATAAAATACTACACTAATTATGCGCTAGTAAAAATGGGTGGAGGTGGGTGAATCTTTATGGGGTAGACTGTTGCTGACCGACTCAGACCGAGTATACCTAGCTAGTGATATTTAATAATCTTAAGTACTAAGTATTATACGAAAAATACAGAGGATAATATAATAATGTATACCCCTTAAGATCATAAGTCTAGGTATATTTGTATTATTTGATATCTATTAAATATTTACGAATATCTAATAGATATTAGGTTTATATCCAAATCTTAAAGCTGCGGACATGGATTGTGGATCGTGCTGTAGCCTACTCCTAGCTAGAGGCGAAACAATCGCCATATTAATGACGCCAGCCTTTCGTTGAGGGGATAACGGTCAAGAGTGCTGGGTGAACAACTGCATTAGGATGGGGCTAGCGTGGTACATTTTATTAAGGTAAGCTGCTGACTTGGCTGCTCTCAAAGGCTGCTCAGGTCACGCTCAGTGAGCGAGTTCATCCTACTTGTATAATGGCCAGGCGATGCCCAGTGAGCAAAAAGCGGCTAGGGGTGAGCACTAAAGTGGAAAGGGAAAGCCATGTCGCGCGGCCTAGAATCCGGTGTATATGTAGTACCTATGTAGGTTTGGTTGACATTCGTAGGAATAGGGGTGGCTTAGATAGGAAAGAACCACCCAGCTACCTAGCAGAGGAAATCCGGTATGCACAAATGATATAGACAGCCTCAGACATACATTGGGAGCAGTCACTCAACTGGACCTAAAGTCTTGCTACAACGATCATAAAGAAAATTGGTATGCATGCTTCCGCTGCTATGTACGAATGAATATGTAAACCAAAGAGCCGGGGAATATCAACAATAAAAACGAGGCTCAACTCGCTCAGACAACCACCAAGTTAGATGCAAAAAGCAAACAAGCTAAGAAACGAAAATCAAGCTGCCATCGTCAAAACATACGAGGTGATACTATCCATGCGCTCAGTCGTCAACTTCAAGCTGACAGTCAACAGCTCACGAGCAATACGCGGCTCCTTATCCTGTAGTGCTTTCCACTGCACCCCTGTCAAACACCAAGTCACACAATCGCGCTCGGCCTTGACCGTCGCTGTGCGGCGCGTATCACTAA